TTGTATGATTTTTCATCGTCGATTGTAAAATCCATGTGAATAATTAACAAGAATAATATTAATAAGCAAAATAAAATAAAAATTATATGTACAAATCGATGTTTGATTAAGTAGAAGTTCAATTTGTGCTAAAAGAAATCAAAAAAATAACATAATGAAATCATTAGAATGTCTATTGACATAGAATGTATAAGCAAATGAGAGAACAAGATATTATTCTAAACACGCCATGTCCACTCAAAGATGAGATTAATTGTATATGCTTGGACAACAACAACTTGTAAGGATGCCGCCCTTAACAAATACACACTTTTAGTAGTACCATTCATTCATCCATTTCTTTTCTTTTTTCTTTTTCTCTCAATTGTCTCACAAAGCTAATCTTCTTTCTATTCGCCAGATGTACTGAAACCTACCGTATGATGATGATGATGATGATGTTCGATGATATTTTGGTAATAGAGTTGTCGTTCTATTGAATAAAATTGATTCTAAAAAAATAGAATAAAACTTTGTTTTCTATTAAATAAATAAAAAGTATTCTACCATCAATATTTATAAACGCTTTCGAAACTTTGAATTGATTTTCAGCTTCACATTCATACATTCCAAATATATTGGTATTAATCTAGGAAATATGAGAAAGAAAGTTTTCTTATTTTTGTGTTGTTGAACATAAACAAATGAAATAATATTATTTCACAGCTGGAAATCACTTTTTAACATCTGTTTTGACTTACATCTAATAAAAGTATAAGTTCGACTGTATAATCATTTATTTGTTTACGCTTTATAGTATTTATTTCAAAACGATTTCGTTTCCATTTAGCTGAATTTAATGGACGAGCTGTAATTGTACAATTTAGTATTATATGAGATGATTGAATTGATGATTGAATTGTCATTTCAGGTGAAACTAAAACAAGAAGAAAAATAATGAGTAGGTGTAGATGATTATAATGACAGAAGGAAAAGACATGTGTCCACTTTCGAGATTGTCTTGACGCTTATCACATATGCACACAATCAATCAGTATATAAGCGTATTAAAACTAATCATTATATTATCATCGGCCTCCCATTGTGTTCAAAAAAAAAGGAAAAAAGAAAGAAAGGTTTTCTTATTCTTTTCTTTTTATCTTAATTTAGATAATTGAGTCATAATACTCAAGTGTATTCATTCATATGATAAGTATGAGCCTTTTTATATAATACAAAAAAAAACTAAATTTTACTTGATGGAAATAAACGTTTTGTACGTGTATCTCGTGGTGGTATTCCATTATCAGCGATGCATTGATAATCAACCGGTGTTGTACGAGAAAGGTTTTTTATCAGTAATTTATTTTCATAAGCAATTATATCTAATTAATAAAATATTTGTTTCTTTAATTTTATTTGTTTCCCTTTTTCTTGAAAATTACTTACTTCCATCATTTCGTTTGTTCAATTGAAATGTCTTTCCTGGTAGTTGCCAAATAATTTTAGGTTGTGGTATACCCCGAGCTAAACATTTTAAAATGATTTGTTCATTTTCTTTAAGTATTTCATTGTTATTTGATTCAATTATGATATCGATTATTTTTGGTGGTGCTAAAATAAAAAGAATATCTAATCGAATCTGTCTACCACTTTTAAAAACACTTCATCCTAGACATTGTAACTATTACTTTTAGTAAAACGTCAAAAGGTATAGTTTTTTAATAGTTCGATTAACGAAACCTAACAAAAAAGAAGAAAAAGAAAAGGTGTGAAAATGCTCTAAGGCGTCTTCAATTACATACAGACTGTCTGGTCATAATGTGAAAAATATTTCCTTGATTTTGAACAAATTTTTAGGTGTTAAAAGATATTGTTCATGTCTCATCAAATAACAATCGGAAGCGCCTTTCTTGATCAAATCGAGTCACAGATGCATGTGAGATATATTTATATATATATGAGCTTACTCAGAACAGTTAAATTAAATCGTTTGATGATTGTCAATGTCTGATGATCAGATGAAGATGAAATACGACACGTGTATTCTCCTGCATCATCATCTGATACATCAGATAAAATCAAAGACCAAGTCCATGCATATCTAAATAGAAAAAAAAGTAAAAAGATTAAAATATTGAATTTTTCCCCCATCTATGATCAATTTAACACATACGTATGCTCGAGTATAAACCGTGTTCGATCACCACTGGTAATATCTTCGTCAGTTTTTGCTACTAATAAACGTCCCGTGGGTCCATAGAAATCCGCCTAGAATACAACGATTCTGTCATATATGTCATTCTAATCTTATGTTATATATTTCCCAAGTGTGAATACGACGTAATCATGTTGATTATGCTTATTTTATTGTAGAGAAGAAAAAAGACATGATAAATAAAATAACAACATACTTTTTTATTAGAATATTTTTCTGGTAAATCACATATAAATGTAGCTGTTTCACCTGTATTAACGGATAAATTTTCCGAATAATCATCCGATAATATTATTGATGAAGATAATAATAAACCAAAACTAATGATCAAAATTGAAATCATATGAAGTTTTTCTGCTTTTCTTTAATTATCGTCGTTTTTTCATTTCGTATTTAATCAAAAAGAAAACAGGGAAGAACAATGTCGAAAGAAAGTTACAGTAATGCCAGCAGCATCACTTGTTCATTATTCAAATGACTTTTTCCTTAGTCTCGCCCTCTCTTTTTTTTCCTTCGTTCTATTTCTCTCATTCTTTCTTTCCGTCTTTCTCATTTTTTCTCTGTCTTGTCCATAGAATGAGAGCACATATATAATTATAGTTGAGCGTGTATATGAGTGTGTTGTATGTTCACTTTTGATGTGGTACACATATATGCATGGGACTCAGAAAGAGAGAAATGAAAAAAAAGCATGACTGATTGTCATCTTCGCTTGTGGTACATTGTACGAAAGCGATTCTGAGTAGGAAATTATGAACCTTGAACAAATTGAAAAAACTCATCTTACTGGAACATTAAGCAGTGTGCATTGGCGCGCTTATGTATATATATATATATATAAATCCCTCGGCTTTCGTAATGTTTATTTCATTATAGTCTATCTACACAATGAGATTATTCAAGGACAGAAATTCTTTTGTTTTCTTATTCTACGCCTAAAATTAATTGTGAAATAATATTGAACAAACGAAAGATGAGTATTTTTAAGCAAAGATCATAAAAAAAATAGTGCACAGGTCAGGAACGAAAAAGAATTTTTCACCTATGTTTAATGATCCATAAGCATTTGGATATTTAATGTTGTCGGTAGTCTAGTCAAGGCATACACTTGAATAACTCTTTTTTCTTTTTCTTTTTTTATCCCTCCTGCCAGTCTGATTAAATTCAAGCACATACACACAATTAGAATAGAATTTGTTTGAAGATTTGATTCCTCTCTTTTTTTTGCTTCGCTATAAAGATGACGAAAGGAAGTGCACTGCCCTGGAATTGAGAGAGAACAGAATGAATATATTGAATTTGAATACAAGCGGAAAAACGACGATTGTACGCGACAAATAATTGTATGACCTGCTGTTTCTAAATGTTCTATATGTACGTTCATATACAGTTGGCATAATGATAGAGTAAAGTATTAATTGAAATAGGAGAAAGGAACAGCGGTAGTATGAGTTCAAGTTTCTCTTTTTTTTCTTGCAGAAAAAAATACACCGACGAACAAAGACACATGATCAAAGTGCATTTACTATTATTCTATAGTTCATTGTTATAATCAATATATGTATATATGTAGAATCAATGAGGTTGTAGATTACTCAATCAACTTGGATTGTCTTATTGTCTGATCTTATATTTGTGCTTGTATGAGCGACGAAGAACAGATGCACGAGATGAAGGACACGATTGCGAACATTCTTTTTATCACTGATCATGTAGACAAGAAAATAGCGAACATTTATTCCGATTTTTTTCAAGTTCAACTGTTTGTTTTTTATGATTATTCAAGTGATCTTTTAGTACATCAATTAACAGATAAAAAGTAAGAAGAAGAAGAATTTAATTCAAGTACTATCGAACGATACTAATATAACTGTTAAATATTAAATGAAATTTTGATCAAACAAACATAAATTTGACAAAAAAAAACAGCTTATATTTAATGCAAAGAATTAACAAAACAAGGAACACCTCTGGCTACATCTTGACCTTTCTCTAAACTACAGTGATCATATATTGAAATTTATTCTAAGTTCAAAAACATTTTTCCATCTAAGATCTGATACTTAAAAGCTTTTGTTACATCATTAATCGACATCGGTATACGTTTGTTGCACTAAGCCGATTCAGCATGCACAGGAAAACACAATGTATTAGAATCGGAAAATGATTGATTAAATATCTAATTGATGATAGACACAGAATATCACGTTCGGGTTGGAATAAAAACGTTTGTTGTGGTTATTATTCACCAATGATATAAAAAAAAGACAATCTTGCACGAGAGATAAGAATCTATCATGACATGATGACCTATTAAATGTTTACATGAGATTATTGATTTTATTGTTTAATACTCTATCTATAAAATAGTGAACTATATAGATGAAGAAATATTTATACATCAATCGATCTATTGTTTAACAAAAGGATTAGATTTATTTCATGTTTATCATGATTGTTGATCAGGGATTATTTTAAATTTCATTTTGAGCATCTATGTCGGTAGTAAATTTTTTTACTTTTTAAACAATTATAATTTATTCTCTTTATGTCAATATTCGATAAGCTTATAATTAAATAAATATTAACATATTTATAAAAAAAACGCAAAGTTTTATTAGAATGAAATAAAAAAAATAATCTTATTTCTATTTAACACACACACACACATCATTCGGAGTCTATGAAAAGTTTTTTGTTCCAGTGCTGTTCGTCCTATATCTGCTCCAAACATATTGCTGTTATCCTTAATATCTTCTTCAGGTAAATGCCAACCTTCGTCATCATCAAAATCTCTTTCTTTTTAAGCAAATATTGGTAAGCGCAGCATAAAACCTGTGATAAGTCCGCCAACAACAGCCATGCCAAGTGTAAGTCCACGTGCAGTTGCTTGATAAGCCGATTGAGTACTATTATTTCGAGATTTTCCACCACCACAACATGCGTCTGTTAGGCTAGTTAAAGAACCTGATCGATTACCAATCGAAGCAACAATAATTCCAGTTACACCAGCCACTAAACCGGGTATACCATGTAAATTATTAACAGCACACGTATCATGAAGACGGTATTGTTTTAATTTAGGTAAAAGAAAGTGAAAGCCTAAAACTGATATCATACCAGCAAGTGTACCAATAATCATCGCACCGTGAAGACCAATGTTCGAAACAGATACTGTTCAAACCGCAACTTCACCAGCTGATGTAGAATTTTGTATATGAATCATATCGAATTTGCCTCTTTTAAGAACAGATGACATGAGAAACGCACCAACAACTGAGGCACATATTGAGACATATATGTGACGGCATAAAGACGATCAATGCCAGTTTCATCACCTGCATTGAATGATGGCCAAAAACAAAAGAGAAATATAGTGCCAATCATTGAAAAGATATTTGAACTATAACGTGATTTTTCATCAGGACAATCGATAGAGTTTGAACGGTGTAGAACGAATACCGCTGTTGAACCAAAATAAGCACCTGTAAAAATGAAAATTGTTTAGTTTACTTTATTAAATGTCAAAATAGAGCGAGTCTAATTACCAAATGTATGAACATAATTACATCGATTCACCAGCATCAACGGCACAAAGTAAACGTGTGCCTATCCATTCATTAACGATTTGTATAGGTACTTCAATAAATGCCATTAAAATCAATTGAATAGAATTCACTTTTCCTAAAATAGCACCCGTTCATATCAGTATACTAGCTGACACAAAATCTGCTGTTGTTAAACTTTCAACATCAATTATAAATTTTTGATTCGTATCATTCCAATCAAATAGATAACCACGTATAATAAGTGCTCATTGCAATGTAGAAGCACATACGATAAAATAAAATCCAACAGCCGAATATGAATATCGACGTAAAAACGTCATTAAAAAGCCAAAACCAATAAACATCATTACATGGATATCGGTATACATAGGATGGTAAAAGTCCACAAGACCTCGTGGTGTATCTTCAAAGTTTGTAACATTCGAAGCCGGATAATATTTATACTCACTATGAAAACCCAGTAAAAATGTGAATACGATTTGAAATATAAATAACACCAATGGAAATAAATATCGACGAAAGCTTATCATTTCGTGTATTTAATCTATGAAAAGAAGCTTTTTAACATACGATCGGATTTATATGCTTGTAAAAAAACTTCTATTGCGTGAACTTCTTATTCTTGTCTTTTAAAACTAAAAACTATCAAATTGAACAATTTTTCGCCGAATTTGAATAAATAGAAAATGATTCCATCGGAATCTGATTGAATTAGAGATCGATCTGATCTTTACTCGATATTCTTAAGCTCTTGTGCTCTTTACGTTGTTTTTGCTATTTCTTTTCAGTTGTTGTTAGTATGATAGATGAAAAAAACCATAAAGTGAAATGTACTCACAAACGGACGCGGCTAAAAGCATCTGTTCGTCAATACTGTTTTTTCTTAGATTCGTACGGTTTTTCATGCAAAGAAAGAAAAAGATAAACAAACACAAACGAACTAGTTGTGCTTTTCTGTTTCAAGATCAGTGCATTTTTACTGATAAGTATTTGACGAAATCACTGTTTGTTTTTGAATATGAAATCATATTCGAAGCTCCTTCCATCTTCAATATGGTCGCACATACATTGCTTCAATAACAGCAATTAAAAAATAGAAAAAAAGAAAATTTTTTTTTGTTAATATCAAGGCTCCAAATATGACCTTACATTATAGCTACTATATAGAACATGTTTTGTTATGGTACATCAAACGATCAAAGTATCTATAGAAGTACATTTCAGTTGTCTTAGTTTCAAATGAGAAAGTTTTTAAATCTTAAAAGCAAACCGTCGAAAGTGAAAATTAAAAGTCTTTGTAAGGCATGGAAGAATGAATTTTTCTGGATTCTAATCAAAAGTATGCAATATAATAGATCATGCATGAATCAGAATAGTTAGGTTGATCGAAATTTATATGGACAGCTATGATTTAAATTTTAAATCTATTGCTTTCAAAATTTGCACTCTCGCAGTGTTCTACTTACAAAATTTAATTCCCAAATGGTTTTATATTCAATCTATTTTAATTATGAAAATGAAAGTCAATAAAGTATACTTGAGAATCTGTACTGTGTAACAGTATGGTCATTTTTTGATAGTTCCTCTAATTAGAGAGAACATTTTAGAAAGTTTGTTTTTCGGATATAAATTGACATATTCATGCAATTGTTTTGACAAGAACTAATCGTTTGACTGATTAAAGATTATTGACAATAAACTGCCCGAAAAAGTTTCATTTTCAGGTACAAAACAAATATATTCGCTTGTGAAAAACGAAAATCGTTGTACCAATGAAATATTTTTGAGCCGATGTAGTTCCTTTTTTAGGGGAACTCTAAACAAAGATTAATGATAATCAAAAACGAGTCGGTTAGGTCTACCACTTTGCTACCAAAATAAATTATCTCTCGATAATTCTATATTTAACTTGATTTAAAATGCTAAGCTGTATGTATTATCTATCTGTTCTATTGCCGAGTTATTAAATATCTAGCGTAAAACTTCTGTGTGTCTCTAATGTGCTAAATCAACTCATTTCAAAAGATATGTATGAGTTCAAGAAGAAAAAAGATAACAGCCGAAAAATTTTAAAAAAATGCCGATGCAATTTGAATTCATAATATGCATGCATCACTGCGACATATCACTAGTAGTATAGTTTATTTGTGCATGGTTGTTAAACAAATATGCCATGGCAATCTTAGTATGGCAATTGCTAGCTTCGATTGTAGGCGTTTCTTTTCAACCAAATTTATACCATTCCTTTAGACTCTATCGATAGAATTAGTTTTTTTTATTGAAGCACTTGATGTATTCAGGAGAAACTAAAATCAATAAAAAGAATGAACCTAATGTTTATGTTTCATATAGAATTGTAGAGCATGTACGAAACAGATGCATTTTCAAAGATTCTACTTGCTTTGTAATGATGGGTAGGAAGACGACTGTAATGATTCTTTTTCCTTTTGCATGAATAGAGATACAGAGTGAGTTTTGTTTTTATTCAATGACGATCTATGCCATGACTTTCAATCGACGTTGCTAAATTTGGATGCGAATGTGTTTTCGATACAGTTTTCGTTTGCATAAGCCAGGAAGTAACACAAATGCATTTAAACAGTAAATACTACATACGTGTTTGATTTGTGTATGTCTCATTTATTTTGCGCTGATTTATTTATGCGTCTCACCAAGATTTTTATCATTGATATATTCGATCAGGAATAAACTGTTTTGTTCTATCGACCAGAATACTTCAAAAGTCGAAACTATTATGGAGAAATCTTTTATTTTGATGATTACAGTAAGAAGAATAGCTATTTAAAATTTCTACTGAATTTGATAATAATCTGGTAAACAGAGAAATTTCTCCGATCACGTTAAAGACGTTGGGTAAATGAGAAAAACAAATGTAAGAAAATAAGAATAGTGTTTTTACGTTAGCATGTTTGACTGATTAATATTATTTATTATGCAGTTAGCAAATTATAATCAATATTTAACAGTTAACTATATATTAAAACACTATGATACAATAGTCGCGAAAATTGTTTGAAGTTTGAAAGAAGAATGAAATGGTTTAGAGCTGAGTTTTTCATGATTTCTTTTTCATCTAAAATATCTGCCACATTTTAACCTGTTGGATTTATGAATTGAGTATATCCATCAGAAGGAAAAAAATCGATTTCATACTTCTACAGTTATTTCAAATGTTTTCGAGGAATTTTTATAAGAATTCAATCTTGTCACCATCGCACAACCTACGACCCATTAGTTTAATTTCGGCTCATAGAAGTCTACATTCAATATGAAATTCTACGACGTTTCAAAATTGATATACATCCTAGCAAATAATAATTAAACTCACAAGCCACTGGTTACAAAATGATGACGAAATGACATTCTCATCAAATTTTCAGTTACATCCAACAGTTAAGACTTGCTGTGTAATATGATAGTTCTTTTTAAAGATATATCTAATTCAATAATTCAAGATTTAATAACATATAAAAATTAACGATACAAAACTACCGACTTTTTGAAGTTCAATTCTATATTAAACTGTCTGTAAAAGTAACATATACAAATATTGTTCTGCCAATTTCAAGTCTTGCAGATTTTTTGATTTTGCAGTTTTTGAAAACATGATGTAGAACAGATAGAACACATATATTTCTAACATTTGAATCGTGCCTCAAAATAAACTAAGATGAACAGAAATTCTTCTTAGAATCAAGAAATCATAGTGCATCATTTTTACCATTGTGTTTAGTTCTGTATCACCTTACTCAAAAACTTCTTTTGTTACAGTGCAAATAGTCTGCTATTAAATGAAATTCAATTCAATTCAAGTCCTTCAAGAAGACGACTTTTGATGAAATATTGACCTAAGAGAAGCCAAGAAGAAATGAAGGCAACATGTATTCGTTCTTGAGCTGCTTAATTTGTTCAGTACCTTCTAGGACAAATTTCTGCGATTTGCAAAGTTACTCGATTATTGGATGAAGAGGTTTTTCGAAATGGACTTTTAGATTCTCGATATTGCGAACATTAAAAATAACTAATGCCAATAAATTTGATCACACTCCAGTATTCTTTCGGTATCATTTTTCAGAGACGACACATTTTAATTTAAAAAAATTATTAAATTGAGAAATAATTTTAAAAAGATTCAGTTAATGTACTCTCTCCTTTATATGCGATGAAATGTACGAGCATCGCTTTCACCAATGAGAGAAATAAGAGGGAACTAATAGTTGATTCCAGCTTCCTCAATGAATTGTAACGTTAATCCTGACAGTTCTTCCACAAATTAAGAATTTCTGTTGCTCAGTTCTTGGACACTATTGAATAAATTCATGATTTAACCACCTTCAGTAACGATAACTGTGGTTATATTCAAGAAAAAATATTTTATATGCTTCAGATGATCTGATCTTGAGAATTAAAATTCTTTTTTTTTTTAAATTTTGTTCATGACTTCTAATCTTTGTAATAGAACGTAATAATCTTTTTACTCAGAAGTATTTTTCTTTTTGAGTCATATAATTTGATCTTTGCAATGCAAGGTAAGTATGATTTGATGTGAAATTTTATTTTGATTGCATTTAGGTTATTGAATTTTTCTTATCGAAAGTAAAATGATCAGGAGAGTAAACGCCAATAGTATTAATAGGCAAATATTTGTTTAATCCTGTATACTACGAATATCTCGAATAATCAATGATAATATTTTGAATAATCGTGTTTTCCTATAAAAATTAACGAAAGAAATCTGCAAAAATGGTCGACTTTGTTGATTAATTGCGTCATTCTGATGGCATGGGTCGATCAATGATACATTTGGTATCATATAGATCCTAAGAGATATGTTCTATTTTAAGAGTCATCGCAGTTTGAAAAAAGACCTTAAAAATAAGAATGAAAATAGTGATAGAACGAAGGAACCATTAGTATAATATATCGAGACTTGTTTTTTCAAAACGAAAATCATTTTAGTACATTGTTTTTGTTTTGTACTTTGAATCAGAAAATGGCTTCCTTCGGGGAGAAAATCGATAGAATAAATAACTGTCGAAAATCTATTCAGTAAATCACTTTCATATTTTTTGTTTCTTATAAAAAATGAAAGAATTATTTTCTATCGTTCCGTGTTGATGTAGATAAAAACATCGGAAACATTATAATAATATTGATCTTAATTCGATTCAAAATCTTGTATAAAGTAAAAAAATTAATATATAACAAAATATCTTCTACATTAGTGTTTGATTAAACGAATTCAGTTTGTTTTTAACAAGCAATATTATTCAATGTATGAATAAGTGCTCTTATTGATGATGCTTCTGGTTCAGCATCAACACGAAGATTGCTCGTATTGGTTCCTCTCGAAAAACTATAAAAATAGTAGTATAAGAGTAAGTAAAGTAAGAAAGAAAGATGAAATACAAAGGAGACATACAAGAATATAAATCTGGTACAAATTAAATTCGGATCTTGAATTGTCCAAATGTCTTTTGTATGCTTTTTATAGGCATCTGGTGAATTGATAACTAGGAAAGAAAATTAAATTCTTAAAGAAAGAACTCAACTTTTGTTCTATATTACTTTCACATAAAGCTATGCAATGCCAACCTCGTTGTTTAAGTGGTGGTATCTAAAACAAGATATCATATAATATTTATTTCATTTTTAAATTATTCTAAGTGGAAACTGTTTGATAAGGTGAAATATTTTTTATCGAAAAAGTATCTGTTCAATCGGTTAAAAATCATCAAGTTTGACATCTTAGGATTATGACTCGATTTGATCCGGTTCTAGCTCTGGAAACGATCTAAGAAACTTTTACAACCAGCAGTTCAGAATGTATTATATCGAATGGTTTCGTCCATTGAATCTTGTAAAAAAATAAATCTTGATATTACCAGTCTTCGCTGTTATTTTCGATTTTTAGACTTAGCAACATTTTATATCTCATAACTTTATACTATTGGTAGTAGAAAATTTTAATAACTATGATTTCAGAGTGTGTGATATGATTTTAACTGATATATTAGTCTAGTTTAAAATTAAAAGTTGTGTTATTTATCGTTTACTGCAACAAGTATAAATGAATTGATTAGGTAAATTTGAAAGCTGTAGCGTATCTATCAATATTTCTTTTCATAAAATTAACACAAAAAAATTACCTGAAAATTCACAGGCTAACTAGAAATATGCTGAATTATGCAATCACTCGGACTGATAATTTCGAAATAGTCCACACATAATAGTTTCCTACAATAAGAAATAAAAAGCTACGAAAACAAATCGATTATCGATAAAGTCAATTTGAAAACAGTCAACATTCGTTTAGTCAATCATTAAAATACGATGGTCAAATTAAGTGCAATATATGAGAAAAGGCGTGGCTCACTCTCTTCAAAAACTAAACTTTTCAAAAGACATATAACAATAGGAATGTCTAGACTTATTCATCGAACAAATATTCGACCTATGAAGAAATCTGATGATTTGCAAATTTTAGTACTAAACTCACTTCTGTACTTGGATAAACATCAGAATGGAATTGCGTTGAGGGATCATATAATCGAGAAACTCTCGTATATGACGTTGAAAATATAAAACTAGGTGAAGCGTAAATTCCTGCACCATATGCCGCACCATTTATCTAATTAAACAAAACAAATATTGAATAAATCAATAAATCCAAATTAAACTGCTACTTACTAAATATCCTCCTTTACCAATCTGTAAGCCTGATCGAAGAATTGAATGCCAATTTTCTTGTGGGGAGCCATGAAAAGCGAAAATACTTCCTTTTTCAGCTCGTAATTTTTTAAAATTAACATGTTTTACAATATCTTCGTGTTTTATAAAATATTGATACTGTGTATTAATACTTTTTATTTGATATGTTTCTGGAATTAATGAAAAATGATAACGATTTGTTCCCATCAACCTGAAAACATTTCATGAAATTAAATACAAAACAAAAAAAAGCGATTTCATTTCTTTTTACCAGTGAAAGAATGAAAAACCCCACGGATGTTTTAATTCAATCATACTTCTTAATGATATTTTAACAGCTTCATATTGTGTTATTGATCCCATTGTCATGATTTGGTCTATTATGTTTCTTAATTCATGAATATTTTGTTTTTGCTAAAAAATGAAATGAATCAAATAAAATTAAAGCATTTTGTTTTTACATTTCCGTGCTGATCAAGTAATGTTGTTGATGTGTTATATGGATTTATCAATTTTGGATAGGGATCAAGAATTAATTCATATCGATTAGAATGAATTGCTGCATAAACGAGTAACAGAAGAAAATCTGCAATCTATATTAAGATTTTATAGTTTGTTTCCTTTTTTTTTCTAAAGAAACAATATGAGACAAACTTCAATCGAAAATATTGACGGTGGAAGAGGATCATCACGAAATTTGGAATCCATCGCATCACTAAAACATGTATAATCATCACAAATAGTCGGCTACAATACAAAATTTATCGACATGAATTTAGATAAGAAAGCAAAAATAATAGATTTTATTCTTACTTTCGAAATTTGTTTTTGGTCAACTAAATCAAGTGTACGTTTTCCACACATGACACATAATGAATTTAGATTTCTCATACGATATTCAAAATATTTACAAAACTAAAACGAAAAGGCTATTGTGTCGTTGCAGATTATGAAGAACAACTTTACTTGAACAAGATAACCGTAATTAAGATTTGGTAAATTTTTTACATTAAGATCATAATGTGGATTTTTATTAGAAAAATTACTACGAGGCAATTTGAGTAGTCCTAATTTTTTAGCCACTGTTGTATTAGTATCAAGAATTTCATAATCAAGTAATTCGTCTAATAAACCTTGATCGTTCGTTGTGAGTAGCAGTTCTTCATATTGTGTTCGTTTCGATTTATCGGATACAAGTTCTAAACTAAACATAGAGATAAAAATTTTCATTAGAAAGCATAATTAATCAAATGTGAAACTCCAACAAATATTTTAAACGTAAGTCAGGTTCAAAGGCAGCACGCGATAGTCGTAATGTTTCCATAGTTATATGAACTCTTTCAAAATAATCACGAATAAGTCTGTGAAAAGAATTTTAAAAGAATTTCTTCTAGTTTTATATGTATTTTTAGTTGTTTACCGCTCTATAAACGGCACTTTATTTGCATTTTCCGGATGACATTCACATGTTTGATATATATGTTTAATAATTACTAAAATTTGAAAAAGACATGATCCATAAATCATACGTTACAAGTTATATTCGATTATATTGAGTAACGCAATTCAGAAAAAAAACTTAGATCAGTTAGAAAAAAAACAATTTTTCGAATTGATGAGTGAAATAATTTGTAATGTATAGAATGTATCACAGCGTTTTTTCAAGTGTAAAATTTTTTCCTAAAACACCATAAAGATTAAGTTTTGTTAGAAAAAATGGAGCTCATCTAAATTAGTAACTTATTTGTATTCGTGAATTAGATTTTGTCAAAATTTTTTATTCTTGCTAAAATCTAATAAATATCCTATTGAAAGACAACATGTTTATTCTTTCAATAGATAAGGGGGTTAAACAATAATTGTAATTTATTCAGTTAGAAAAAAAAATCCTTTATTTAATACTGTTATATCATAATCAGTTAGATTTCTGTTTCTCTTCAAAAGAATAGCTAATCATTTCTATAATTTGTTGTTACTTTGAAGATTTCAGAATGCAACTTAGAAAAACTTTCCATTCGTTTTCTATTCATCTCTAACAGTATACAATACTTTCGATTGGTTTCAGCTGATTCAAATCATTATTTTTACTATTTGAATATAGTAACATTGCAACTGAAAATAAAACTATGAGTAGGACCATTGCATAGATCAATTTCAAAAGCGTAATCAAGGAAGTATTTGTCAATCTGAACAAACTAACTTTTAGCAAATTTGGTCTTGTCACTATAAATTAGCATTTACTTTAGCTTATCATTATGCTACTTTGATCAGACTTGATTGTACACACTTATTATTTTAGTCACGAGTTAATGATGTCGTAAGACAGCAATATTAGTGTCTTTAAGGAGAAATCATGATATCTCAATTGTTAATCATGAACAAGATCTACTCATAAGAGAAACAACAGATAGTGAAGGGACTGATAATATCAATGAACAAAAAATAATGACTGTTAAAAAATCTTTCAAATTAGCTTTACAATAAAAATTTCAACTGATAACAAACCTAAGAGTATTTCGAAAGTTTGAGCCAACTAGAACGCTTTTTGTCGAAAGATTAAAATTTTCAATACAAAAATCGATTTTTTTCAGATAGATCTTTTTGTCGACTGAAAATTTCAGAATATTTTAAAAATAAATAGAATTATCTATTGGCAAAGGATTCCTATTCAGCCGTTCAGCTAATAATTTGAGCTAGGTGCAAAATTGAATATTAGAATCATAATTCAATCCCAAAAATTTAAGAGAAACAAATTTTTTCTTGAGGTGTTTTTAGCATTATCGAGATCTTATGAGCCAAATATGTTCTTATCGTATAGTTTACAGCTGTATCAATCCTCGTATCAGCTCATCAAAATGTATGAAATATTCGGAAAAAAATGATAATACTAGTTCATGATTTCGATCATGGATCATTTCAATAGCTAAAAAAGCAAATTATCTGATAATGGCTATTTTATTCTAAAATAGATTTTGTTTTAAATGATAAAGAATTATGTTTTTCTACTGAAGATATCCTAGTTACTTTGTGTTAGCCATAAATAAGTACTTTCAAAAATATAAAATTGAAATTCTCTTTAAATTTACAATCACCTTTTTCGCTCAAAATTCAACTTGCCTTTTATTTAAGCAGTCGTATATTCTCTAATTATTTACTAGTAAGATGTCATAATGAAATACTATCGACTATTGACAAAAATCGTTTATACTAAAATTTTCAATATCTTATAGAATCTTTATGTATAAGATCAATGTTTTATTGGTTATTTAATAACAGATTAGTTTCTTAAAGGCAATATATAATTTTTCTTCATACACACCGTTTTGATCGAGATAAGTCTCATTATGAACTAATATTTGACAGATCAATGGCTTTTTATGACAAATTTGCCATTGACATGCTGTTTCAATCTCAATATAATCGGTATAAAAATGAAAAGTTAACATTGACGAAGACGAATCTTCTGTAGCTGATCTAAAGTTAAAATCAAAATACTATCATCTTTTAACTATTAAATAATTGCAACGCACATACTCATAAGAGAATCCAGCTAAAAAATTCGTTGATACCTTTGAAAATACATCCTTTATATCATTTTCTAGTAATGGATGAAAATACGAATCTTTTTTCTAAATAATACAATCTAAATCGTAGGATATGAAGAATAAATTTTATATACAGAATTAGTTGTATTTTCTATTGGCATGGTGTTGTTTATTGATTTAGCTGATATTATTTGTTCTTCATAAGCAATTTGAAGTTCATCATTAATTCCTTCATCTTGATCACTCTCTTCATTCTGATCGACTGGTTTTGGTGTTCGCTCATTCTCTGATAGAACAGAGATTTCATTCGACTGATGTTCAGATAAATAAACAAGCACCGTAGGAGATATCGGTGTTGCATAGTTGATGGAAGACATTTCTAAAACTAAAATTTATTCTCCAAACTTATCAAAATTGAAATTTATGCAATTGAGGAAGTGATTCAGTTAACGCAAAGTCGCCTCGATTGAAAAAGCAGCCATATATATTGAGTCAGACATTCCTGACCTCTACTGAATTTTATCATATGATAAAAAATTATTTATAATTTGTTTCAAAATAATTTATATCTTTTCTTTATTTTTAAAATATTTCTTCACATTATTATTGTGCAACCATTATTTTACCGATGTACTGCCTGTATGACGACATTTCACATTGTGAAAAACCAGTCTGATGTAATATATTTGCAATTACTCTTATTCTTTTTTTTTCTTTCTCACTGTGTCAATACAATAACTAGATATAAATACATAAGTATAGTGTTATTTATAGATATCTTTACTAGACTGAATATCATTAAAAGAAATCTGCAACCTTAACAATGAGTAAGACAGGAGCTAATTTTGGAGGCACTGTTGGATGGGATGAACAGACTGTTATTGGTAAATATTGATTATTTTTTTAATCAATAAAATATTGTCTATTTTATTTATAGGTAAACGGGCCCCACGAGCCGGAGAATTAAAATCTGAATCAGCTATTGCAGCAGCTCAACGTGCCGGTGTTCAAATAGATACTGCAAAAAAATATGCCGCTGGAAATAATAAACAGCATGAATCAGCAAAAAACACTGCCATATTAGATCGAGAAACAGAGGAACTACATCATGATCGAATTAATCCAGATGTTGCACGTGCTATTCAACAGGCACGAATTGCAAAAGAATGGACACAAGCTGATTTAGCAAGACATGTTAATGAAAAACAACAAGTTATAAATGAATATGAACAATCAAAGGCAATACCGAATCAACAAATTTTAAGTAAATTGGAGAGATGTTTAGGTGTTAAGTTACGTGGGAAAGAAATTGGTCAACCGTTCAGTACTGGACCGAAGAAGAAATAAACTTTTTCTATTTTGAAAGTAAAATTTCAAATATTGAACTCTTTTCTGCTTTTGCTCATCATGTACTATGCTTTTTCTTTGTTTACTTTCAACTTATGATTTTTCTTGTTGTTTTTTCTCATGGTTTTAAAAAAATTAAACAGAAACAAAAAATGCAGAAAAATAATAATTGGTTTATTTGTTTAATTGGTATTGATGTGTTGATTAACTTTGTTCTGCATATAAAATCTTGCCATTTGTAGATGTATCGATGAATTTGACCTGTTTAAGTTATTGAATGATACATTCTCATTAAGACATGTGTGTGTAGATTCGACTGTTCGACTACGACAAAGTCTAATTATTCTATATAGAGACATATTAGAATTTGCCTTATATTTTATTACTATCAATTAACATATGGATCAAGCAGATGATTTAAAAGCATTTGAACGTCGTATGATTGAGATAGTTTCTTCTCTACAACCATCTATATGGCTATGGCGTTTTATATTATTAGTTCTTGTCTTAGTTACTTTTATTACATGTTATGCTTTGATGGTTGATCTATCATTTTCATGGCCATCATCACCATCATCGATAACTACACCTCCTATAACAAAAGAATTAAAGAATGACAAATCATATTCATCAATATTCTTGTTCAATTTATTTCGAAAAGAAATTTATTTTACTTTTTCATTTGGTCTACTAATCTTTACATTTTTATTTGGTATACATCGTAAAATGTTTGCATCATCAATAATAATTGCAAGATTTCGTTATATACTTGCTGATTATAATATGTCTTGTGATCCTACTGGTCGATTAGTAATCAAACCAAGACCAGCGACACGTGTCGCAGGAAGTTTATGAGAATCCCTGACCAATTTTCTTCTGATTTTGACAAAACATAAAATATGTATAGATTTGATATTGTATTCTTATGATGATTGGTGTTTTTCCTTCTATGTAGAAATTATTTTGATTCTATTTATTCAGATTGTTTCTTACTGTGAATCTTTTTAATTTTCTATTTGAAAAAAATATAAATGCTGGTATTTATTATTTCAATAACAATTGATATGTGTACTATGGATGTTACAAAGTAAAAATTTATATTTATTTGTGACAAATACTTTTCTAATTATCTTCAAAAAGGTAAAGGTCGAATTCAAATCATAGAATCAACAGTAATTTTTGAAACTATTAAATCAAATATTTCTATGTTTAACAAAAGAACAAACTTTATTTGAGTAAGTGATAATATTATGAATGAAACAAAAAAAAAAGAAACATGATTAGTTAGTTTTATGGGAGAAAATATATGAAATTTGTTCGAAGAAGGAAAATGTACTGAATTTGATCTATGACTCTGTACTGTACTCAGATTAGAAAGCTATACGGTTAGTTGAGATTATGTTGGGTAGTTCAGTTATTGTCGAAAATTTTCTTCAGTTATATAGAAAATCTTAGAAGCGCTGTCCAGGTCAATCAAGTTCGAAACTTGAATATTTCTAAAAGGTTTTTGCAAGGACACCATGCAGATCTGGAGCTTTTTTTTTTAGTAGGTTGCTCAAGCGTCAACTTATACCTAAGTTTAGTGTATGCCTATGAAATGAAGAAAAATAAACCTACTTTGTAAATAGAATTAGTCGGAATATTAATGTTTGTATATCAAAATATATATGAAAAAGCACATGATTTAGTTTTGATTTACGATCTACTCTCTCCTGCCAGATACTACGTGAGAATCCGACGTGACTTGATTGAATTGAACATCATGTACGAAATATGAATCTTGAAGAAATAATGAATATAGGCACAGCATGTAGTTAAGATTTGGTCGAATCACTGTAGATTGAAATCTTTTTGATGTCATAATAAAATATATTAAAAGATTTATTAAACATAAAACGCACGTTATTCATTTGTACAGTGTTTATTATTGTTCATCACTAAATTAAAATGTCTCAAGAAGAATTATGAAAATAATGTATTTTTATGTTTAGAATTTGAAGTCTAATCATCATGTTTGAATCATTTATTCGGTAAATAAAATGCTTATAATAATTTGTTAACGAATACAATACTCTGACTTGGCTACACGACCATTGAAGGATTATCAGTTTGATAGGTGTATATCAGATGGTATTTTTCTGATATTCATCTTTTTACAACAATGATAAATAAACATATAATTAGATTAATATATGTTATATGTTCTTTATCTTCTTTTAGTGTATAATAGGTCTTTTTTTAAAATTTCTCTCAGCCTGTTTCTCTTCAACAACATATCAAGTATCACCGAATGATTTGTAAAGTTATGGTTTTTCGTTGAATTCTCATCAATAAAAAGAAAATTTCTCTGTCATTCATGAAATTAATTAATAAACTAGAATGAGCAAGAATATTTCCAAGAGTTCTCTTTTACTTTAGATTGATCTATCAAAAGATTTCTTGATATGATATTAAAATGAGTTCAAATGATTTAATTGATCGCAAATATTATAGTTTATATATTGGAAATTTATCTGCTGACATACGTAGAAAAGAACTATGCCAATATCTTGAACATTACAGTCAAGTTGATGAGTGCCAATTGTTTGAAGCAAATCACCGGCGTTGGACTTGTTTTGCATTTGTTTTAATGCGCACACCAGATTCAATAAATCGATTGATGTCTAGTCGGCCTCATTATCTTGATAATCGACGGTTGGTTTGCGTTTTTTTTCTTGATACTGAGAATAAATTATATGTTAGGATCTTTTGTTTTTTTTTATGTTATTAGATTATATTTGAAGCGAGCATTACCTGATCAATGTTCAAATAAAATCGAACATTTCTTAACAAGTGAAAATGTTTTAATTCAATTTAAAGATTTAAAAAATCAAGAAATCCATGAACCCAATTTTAATGATGAAAATATTCGAAATTATTTTCAAACATATGGACATATTCTTAATTTGTATTTATTAAAAAATAATCGATGTGTTATTGAATATAGCGATTATGGTAACATTATTGACATCTATTTTAGGAATTTAGAGAATATTTTTAATGTTTTCCTTTTTCATATGAAAAATTGCAAATCAACCAAACATTACTAATGATGAAACTTAACCCTGACACGACCACCTGGGGTCCGTATGGACTCTAGCCACTTTTATTTCGATACTCTATATATATAATATGAGATCAAATTATCCTTCTTTGGGTATGCTCTCTAGACACTTAATGGAATATGTTGATAACATCAACTAATCGTATCGAGTCGTTCTTTAAAAGATAGAAGTGCTCAAAATAGATGTGAACGCTTGTTGCCCACGTGGGGTCCGGATGGGGCCCAATCAGATTTACTTTACATTTCATTCAAAACTTTAGATCAAACTCTATCTTTGGAGATATCCGTTAGGAACACTTAGGAGACTAAACTGACAACATCCGTTCATCAGATCTAGTTATAGCTCATGCAAAAAAACGACTCAAAATAAACGCAGTTGATGAGTATACAATACCCGATATCAAACGTTCAAAAAATAGAGTATGACAACCAAGTAAGGAAAGATTAAATAAAGCTATTGAAGTTAGTTGCAGTTTTGTTTGTTCATCAGCACGGGGTCCGCACGGACCACATGTAGTCAACAAGTGGTAGTTTTTAAGGTGGTCGTGTCAGGGTTAAGCGAAATTCATTCATAAAAAAAAGAATATGTTTTGATTTTCAATAGTATTACAATGAAAAGAACACACCAGTATTCGTTTCAAACTAAAAGAGACCGAATAGTTATTGAAACAACTTTTAATAGAAAGGAGATCGAAATAGTTACTATTTCACTATCGAGATACAGAAGCAGCATTATCATTCACCATGTTTCTTATAAACTTTTCTAGAAGTTACGATTCATCGACAGATGTTCTCACATTTATATCTGTGATCGATATTTTGACAGACTACTTTTTCTAATTCGACTTGAGTGTCTCGACACTCTTTTATTCGATAGGGAAACTCTCTAAGTAGTTTCCAACAAAAATTTACTTAGGTAATCGTTCGGTCTTTTATTATTTCCAAACGGATAGCTATTTGAAACCATTTATTTTGATGTGCTAACAAATACCCTTCCCGGATTTGCATTCAATGCCAAGAATATGTTTTGCCAATGAATACTAATAGATGGAAACAAATTTATGTGGCCATCGTGTTGGTAGCTCAGAAGTATCACCACGAATCATCTTGAATCGTTCACCAAGGACTTGTAAGAAGATAAACTAGGATTAGAATAGGAATTATGAATAGAACAAAGGGTTGGTCCGACATATCTAAACGTTTGAGCAACTAATGATGTTACTTTATCATTTTCGTCAATTTTGCGAGTTTAATCGGTTTTGAACAGTATTTCATAAAAAAAAGGATGCTTTAGGGTTCGATCGACTAGTATCCATAAATAACTTTGTCGTATTAGAAGCTTAATATAGGCAAAACTATATATGTATATATATTTTGAATTAATTAGTCCTATTGCATTTGCAACGATACAAGACATCCAACCTTTACCGAAACATTCCTTGTGGATAATAGCCTGTTATTTTAAAGTCCAAGAACGCATATGATTTTCAGATAACATCTATCAGTTGACGAAAATAAAATTCACAAACTATATTATTTCGAAAACTAAGTAGATATTAACACATGTAAATATCGCTATCTAATTAATGACACATTGTTTATGTAAACTCTATTCGAATTATTTTAAGTTTAGGCTGTACTTTTAAGAATAATAGTTTCATATTAAAGACACTCGACTATTTTTGTTGTTACGTGGATTCAATACATTTACGCAAGAGAAAAACTTATAGTACTTGATTTTAGGATCAAAATTACACTTCAAAAAATGAATATCAATGCTAGCTATTATTTATATATTCTGTTTTGAAAATTTAGATTCAGTCGATTGCATAATTCTTGATTCACCACACTATTTTAATTCTCATGAACTTCAAATTGATAAATATTATTCTACTGAACAATTAAAACAGCTTGATAGAATGTTTACACATAATCATGAATTACCTTCACTAGGTGCTGGTGAAGATGATGAACAAGTCGAACAATTTTTACATTCCCGACGTTATCTTAATATGCGTATACGTTTATTAAATGATTCAATATTATCAGTAAAGATTTCAAACGAAATTAAATTAGAAACAATTCACCAAGGCTTTTTATTAACAATTAATCGAAGAAAAGAACTACTAGAACAAATTAAAGAACTCAATAAGCAATGCCAAATATTGCATGAAAAAAATGAAGCCATCAAAGAAAATAATCAGAATAGATTGCACTTGAATAGTAAACTTGAAAAAAATTATCAACAACAAATTACTGATCAACAAAATAAACAAATTGAATGGAGACAAAAAATTGAATCACTTCAAGAAGAAACTTAACTTCTTTTTCTTTTTTCTTTTGTTCTTTATTATTTCATTGAACATTTAATTCAATTATTTTCTAAATTGTTCGTCAGATATGTACTTATTGTGAAAATAGGCAAAGTAAAGATGATAAAATTTTTCATTCATAAATCTATTGTTTTAAGTTCAATGCGTAACAACATAAAATAGATAGAAAAGAAGTTTGAAACCAATGATTATTCAGTCATAAGAGATTGCTTCGGATGATGAATGAGGTCCAACAAGCATATTGCCTAGTAAAGAATCATTTTAATTCATATTTTTAACACTTTTTACAGTAGATTTAATAGAAAAACAAAACAAAAGAAATATACATTACTTGCAAAATCTTATCAAGCATCGTGAGAATTCTTCTAATTAGCATATTTCTTGCAGTACCACAATTTGAGCAAGAACCAGTAGCTTGA